TAGCTTTACTAGATAATGTTTTCCTAAGTGGTTGTACCATTTATACTCCCACCATCAGAGTATGCGAATTCATGAGGATTTTAGGCAAAAAGTGATACAATCTGAATCCTGGTCCACCATCAGAAATATCAAATGTTTGTTGGGTGACTGAGTGAATACACAAGCACAAGCTGAAAAGGGAGACAGTTCTGACTGAGGCTGGCTGAGCTCTCCTGAGGGGCACTTTCTCATCAGACCCATCCTGGGCCCAAAGACCAGACATAAACAAGAAAATGTCCCTGATGCTAAGAAACAAACAGCCTATATGGAGGACTTAAAATTGTGCTCCAGGCTGGTGTGGCTCAGTGGCTGAGCATTGACCTAAGAACCAGGAGGTCACAGTTCGATTCCCAGACAGAGCACGTGCCTGGGTCACAGCTCTGTCCCCAGTAGGGGATGTGGAGGCAGGCGATCAATGATTCTCTCTCATCATTGATGTTTCTATCTCTCTCTCCCTCTCCCTTCCTCTCTAAAATCAATAAAAATAGTAACAAAATGTCTAAAGGAAGACAAAAAAATATATAAAGAGGCAACAAGAACCTCACCCTGGAGAGTGGAAGTCACTATGAGGAGTAAGACATGGATTCTAGTGGTATTTCAGTGAAGTCGCTGAGATGATGTGGCACTTCTGAGTCTCATGACTTTACTTAACCATCAGGGAACAATATTGGCCATTAACAATGTGCCATATTTTCATCTATAAATCTGGAAATGTAAAATATTTTTAATACTCATTGTTAAGGGTGTTGGGAGATGAGCATGCTCAACCAATACTGGTAGAAATATGATTTGCTGAAACTGAAAATGTTGTTGTAATTGACCCAATAATACTGTAGTAGGCAGTTAGGCATGAGCAGAGTAGGAACCATAGGCCAGGTAAGGAAGGTCACCAGGGAGGAAAGCCCTGTGTGCCTAGCAACAGACTACTGTAGGAAGGGACCTCCTCTCCAAGATGACCTTTCCTCCCCATCATATTGCTGGTTATGCAGTTTAGACCCCCTGAACTTTCATATCCCTAGTCATGTGGTAGACCCTGTTAGAGTTGGAACAAGGAGACTGGAGAATAGCCTTATGTGACTCCCTTGTACAACTACTCCCTTACATTAAGCCCTAGAGATAACATCTGGGCCTCAGTTGTGTTTCAGCTCCAGGCACAGAAAAACATCAAAGCCAGGTGGGGTGACATCATGGCTGGCATCAGGACCAACTTCGATGACTAATGACCCCCCTGCCCTGGTGTGGACCAAGACCCTGAAAGGACACACCTGAAAAGCTGATGAGTAGTCTATTGAGATCCTCCCCTGAGACCTCTAGATAAAACCCCTTAAGAGGAAGGACCCATTACTGGAGCTCCATCTCTCTCTGTCTCTGGAGCATGCCCATGCCTTTCCCCTCTCCTTCCCCCAGGCACATTCGTTCTCTGTTTTTCTTTTTCCTAAGCTCCAAGGGCCCTTCTTTTGCCTCTGTAATTTGTTTCCTGAGCCCATTTCTCTTATGATGCACTTCATGTACCTCTGTGACTTTCTAAATAAACTTGGTCTTACAGTTTGAGTCTTAGCTCTGAATTCTTTCTCAGCCAGAACTCAAGTACTGAAGTTGCTGGACTGAGGTCCAGTTGCTGGTAACATTCTGGTACTGTTTTGCCCCTAACAATACTATTTTGAAAGCCTACTGAGCCTAGCTAGCGTGGCTTAGTGGTTGAGCGTTGACTTATGAACTAGGAGATCACGGTTTGATTCCCAGTCAGGGCACATGCCTGGGTTGTGGGCTTGATCCTCAGTGTGGGGTGTGCAGGAGGCAACCAATCAATGATTCTCTCTCATCATTGATGTTTCTATCTCTCTCTCCCTCTCCTTTCCTCTCTGAAATCAATAAAAATATATTTAAAAATAAATAAATAAGGTATATAAAGTATTATTTTTAAAGAGCCTTTTGAAAGAATCAGAAAAGAGGAAAGTGTGATGCACAGTGATGTTCAATAAGACATAATTTATAATAGAAAAAAATAAAAAGAAAAAAGCAGCCCTAATGGCTATTCATATCAGATTCTACCAAAAATAGAATGTCATGTGGCCATCTATCAAATAATATTTATGAATAATTTTTAGTGACACAATAAAAATGCTGACATCTATAATAGTGAAAAAAGAAGCAAGGCAGGATGCAGAAATGTATTATCAGTATGATCTCAGTTATATAAATACCCATTAATAAAAAATAGTTGAGCCCCGGCATGGTGGCTCTGTTGGTTGGAGCATTGTCCTGTACACCAAAAAGGTTATGGGTTTGATTCCTGGTCAGGGATCATACCTAGGTTGCAGGTTCAATCCCTGGTCAGGATGCATACAGAAAGCAACCAATCAATGTTTCTCTCAGGGGATGTTTCTCTTGCTCGTTTTCTCTTTCTCTAAAAATCAATAAACATATCCTCAGGTAAGGGTTAAAGAATAGTTGAAAAAAAGTAGCTGAGGGGACTCTTTCCCCCTCCTCACGTGGAAGTCTGTATTTGTTCTTCAATAAAATTTCACCTTTGCTATAAAAAAAAGTAGCTGAGAAGGATATTTAGTAAAATGTTGAAAGCAATTTATTTATTTTTTCATGTAGATTTTTAAATCGATTGTTAGAGAGAGAGGAAGGTAGAGGGAGAGAGAGAAACATCAATGTGTGAGCATAATATAAATCCAATCGGCTGCCTCCTGCATGTCCCCTACGGAGGATCAAGCCCGAAATGGGAAATTGAACAGGCAACGCCCAGGTGCACAGGACGATGCCCAACCAACTGAGCCACAGTGGCCAGGGCAGCAATTTATTTTTTAGTGTCAAGAATTAAGAGTGGTTTTCATTTTCTTCTTAATCTTGTTGTGTAGTAACAAATTCCTCACCATTAGTATGCTCACATTCCTCTCATAATCATAAACAATAATGAATTTTAATAATAGAACCTGCGGTCACGAAAGTCAACATGTTTATCTCTCCCTCTAAGCTCCTGCGCTCTTCAGCCTCCTAGGGAGAAAGGGCCTTGCTTATTGGAAAAGTCCCACCCATGCCAAATACTGTACTTCTCTGGTGCACAGAAAGGCTTTCTAAAGTGCCATCGGCATTACAGGCCCCTATTTACTCAATAAAGACCATACACCTTTAAATTAGCTTTCCCTCAATGACACTCAACTGGCTGGGCTTTGTGTTTATCATTCATTAGCAGAAGGGGCATGGCCAGGGCAGATGGCAGGCAGCATGCACTTCTCCCTGCCACCCATCTTTATCCTCTTTGTTACTGAAGAAAAACAATTACTTGGTTTGGACAAGAAACAGCCAGGGCTCTGAGCAATTTCCTTAGGTCTATGGAGACTATAATTCCTTTACAAGGTTGTGAAAAGAATGTCAGAATTCAATTCTGTCACTTGAGACTAAACTTCTGACACAGGCAAACTTTATGGTAAGTCTCTGAGTCTCAGTATGATCATTATCAGTATGATCTCAGTGTCTTTAGCTGGAAAATGGAACAGTTGCAAAACTGAAGTCAAATTGAGTTTGCAAGGCACCCAGCCCTGTCTCTGACTCTATTTTTTGTTGTTAATCCTCACCGAAGGATATTTTTCCATTGATTTTTTTAGAGAGAGTGGAAGGGAGGGGGAGAGACAGAGAGAGAGAGAGAAACATGGATGTGAGAGAGACACATTGATTAGCTGCCTCCTGCATGCACCTGGATCAGGGCATGAATGCAGCCTGCAACCGTGGTACATACCCTTAACTGGAATCAAACCTGGGTCCCTTCAGTCCAAGGGCCAACACTCTATCCACTGAGCCAAACCGTCTAGGCCCTAGGGCACCTTGTCTCTTACTTTTTAAAAAAATATGTATTTTTACTGATTTCAGAGAGAGAGAGAGAGAGAGAGAAACATCAATGTAAGAGAGAATCATTGATCAGCTGCCTCCTGCATGCCCCATACTGGGGATTGAGCCCACAACCTGGGTATGTGCCCTTGACCGGAATCGAACCTGGAATCCTTCAGTCCGCAGGCCAATGTTCTATTCACTGAGCCAAACTGGCCAGGGCCTGTCTCTTACTCTTAAATGTTAGTGTCTCAGACCCTGTAGGCCTTAGGTAACCAAAGAATACTGGCAGCAAATGGAGGGATGGGGGAAGTTTTGGACAACTGGCCTGTCTCTTACTCTTAAATGTTAGTGTCTCAGACCTGTAGGCCTTAGGTAACCAAAGAATACTGGCAGTGAATGGAGGGATGGGAGAAGTTTTGGACAACCGGAAGATTGGACATTTCTTGCTATTACTACTACCATCTCTCTCTCTCTCTCTCTCTCTCTCTCTCTCTCTTTATTGATTTCAAAGAGGGAGGGAGAGGAAGAGAGAGGAAGAAACATCAATGATGAGAGAGAATCACTGAATCATTGATGGGCTGCCTCCTGCACATTCCCCACTGGGGATTGAGCCTGCAACCCTGGCATGTGCCCTGATTGGGAATCAAACTATGACCTCCTGGTTCATAGGTCGATGCTCAACCTCTGAGCCATGCCAGCTTGGTTGTTGCACATATTTTATCCCATTTTTTTGCTTGTAAAAGAACTATGTCATTGTACATAGAGGAGTTTGGCATTTTTAACCTTTTGTTTTAATTTTAATCCCTATTTTTGAGTCCTTGGGAGGCAGAATAGTTCAGAGTAGCTCAAAGTACTAGGTCTGAAGTCAGGAGTTTCTAGGTTCCATTCCCATCTCTGCTTTTTGCTAACAGTAGCCGTGGGCAAGCTGGCTGATGGGAAAGCCCTTCCCATTCGTGCAGAAAATGAAAAATAATACCGCTCTCCTTTATTGTGAGCATTAGCCTGATGGAATGTATAAAAACAGGACCTGAACAATGATAATAACGAAAACTAAACGATATTAATATAATGACGATGACATTTTGCACTTTTGGAACATGGTAGGCCAAAAAGAAGTGACTTACCCAATCACAGGCTCAAAGGCGACCAGGCCTTAACGTGGAGAACTCAGGTGAGGCGCCGGCTCCTTCCTCCCTAAGCTCCGCCCCTAGGACTCCGCCCCGGTCCCCGCGCCTCGGCCTCCGCGGGAAGCTGGTACCTAAAGAGTGAGCCCTAGCGTGTGACTGGCGCGAGTGACGCAAGAGGGAGAAGCAGGATGCTCCGGGATAGGGCGGTAGGTTCGCGCGGAAGGGGCGGGGCAAGTCAGGGGGCGGGGTTTAATGGATGCTGATCTTTGGGCCGGGCTTCTGCGTGCGTGGGTCAGGCGGG